GGGGACTACACCTGAAAGAGAAAGCACACAAGCATACATTGTACAAAAATGAACAATGATCATAAAAAAAATAAATTAATTAAAAAACTCAAAAAGCAAATAATCAACTATTTTTTGTGTGTCATGCTGGTGAAATTTGACTGTATGAACACTACCAAAGAGGATTCCACGTCCTTGCGTAAGGCTTCCCTTGTTTATCCTACAAGCATTTTGAGAGTAAAGCAAGGAAAAAAATGATGACGTGATCTAACTACCACAGCAATGAATCCTAATAATCATTTTAGATCATAATTTTTCTCTGAGAGCTGTTGTAGCTTGGTAAAAAGCAAACTACAACACCTCATGTGAAGTGGCATAACACATTATTTGAGAGTGCACCATAATTAAATAAAACATATAACGTAAGCCCTATGGCAAACATTAAACTATAAATAAGGAGCCAATGGTGACTATGAAGGGAATCATAAAAAGTAACTAATATGAAGGTGACAGATAATAAAAGTAAAACCTAAGACGTGGAGCAAAAAAGAAAATTACCTGATGATGTGTTTCCATTGAACACTGTCAACAATTACATTAGATGTAAACATTCTAAAAATAACAATTATTTGATTCAAACGTATCCTTTTGTTCTTCACCAAGTCAGTCAGGTCTTGTTTTTTACAGCACCTTCATAAATATTGTTCATTGAATAAATAGCACTCTATGTTTTCTCCTTTATCGACTAAAAAAAAAGACCGAACCATATGCAATCTATAAAAAGCCCACCTTAAATATAATAGCATAGATGTATTAAAAGTAAAAAGATGGGTGGGAGCCAAGGAAGTCATGGCTGGTGAACTCAGCTGAGGAGCTGCTGCAGTGGCTTCCCCCAGGGGCAAAGGCTAAGGCTGAGACTGAACTCAGGTGCTCGCATGAAGAACATGCCTGACCCAAACAGCTCATTGCACGGGCCTGCATGCTCACCCAGTCATCTAGGTGGTTCAGTGTACCACCCCAGGCATGATGTGGTGCTTCTGGTGACTGCTGAAGCAGCTGAATCCCAAGTAGATCAAGCACTATTTGTGATTTTTGCTGTCACTGCTGGAGTTTGGGAAAAATAAAGGTGTGAGAAAATAACAGATATGCTTCAGCTAAAGGAGTTTCCTGTGTGCCTGCCTGATGCAGTGAGAGAAGCTGATGGATAACCTAACTGGCCTTCACTGGGACTGAGTCAAAGATGGTATACATTCAACTTTCTTGAACTTATAAAACATGAAAAGAAGAGCTCTGAGGATCCACAGGTCTTGGTTGACTTTGCTCAAGTCCCAATTAAAGCCAGAAATAGAAAAAATGATGTGGGTGCTATGATGTTTATGATGTTTGAATATAAGGAAAATGTAGGTTTTAGCCTTTCATCAGCAATAACATTCAGTATTTTCTTGGTAGGTTTTATATCAATTACTTCTCTTTTCACATGTTTCTTAATGAGCATAGGCTTCTGTTTGGTGTCGACACTAATCCTGGTCATCCTGAAAACAAAGAAAGTATTCATCTCACCTGTTCTGTGTCTAACATAGTGACAGATGTATATGAAACAACCATGAGACTGTGTGGACATTGTTAGCTGGTATATACGAAGCTGGGGGCTGAAGAGTTCAATGCCAAGACCAAGACAACCCTGTGCAGGTACTTAATAGATTGTTACATCTATTTCACATGAACAAGATGTTCAAGAACTCCTGAGAACAACAGCCCTGCATGAAGAGCTATAGAAAAGTGGACAATCTAGTTATTAAACTCTTTGTTACTTTGGGTAAAGAAGGTAAGACTGTCCCACTCTGAAAATGTTTCTAATTTATTTCAATCACTCATAGACCTACCCTAGAGCCTGTGAGAGCTTCCCTTTTGATTGGACTTGGTTAGGGATTTCCATCCATATGTTAGATAATTCCAAGGTTATCTAAAATTATTCCATGGAATGGATAGGTACTTGAGGTGTCATTTTTTAAAGGCTTCTTCAAGTGAGTCATCGAAGAGACTTTCCGTCAACATGTCATTATAAAACCACACTTGAAGGTGATGATTGGAGAAATCCCAGCAGTAAATGCAGAGATGCTTCAAAATATAGGGCTAAGGGCTATAAGTGGTTGAGCGCTGGGTTGCGAAGCTGCCCGCAGCCTCTGCAACGCCGGTTCAATCCCCAGCCACTAGCTGAGGGTCCCACATGGCGCGCAGACCTCTCCTGCCGTGCCCGCTGCTCCCCTCAGCAGTGTGCTTCATCAGTCTGCCTGCTCTGCTCCCCGCTCTGGCTCTGGTGAATCCTCTCACCCTCCTGCGCTTCTGACTGTACCCAGTGCTTGTATGAATAAATAAATATATCTTTAAAAAAAATATAGGATATCCATACACGATTATAAACTAACAAAATTGTTTTCAAAGGCATCTGCCAAAGGCCAGCTCCGGCAAAATGTCATGTCAGGGGTTCCTGAAAGGATGAGACGGCATCGGCGAAACTGAGGGCTGAGGGGAAGGGGAATGAGGCAGACACACACACTCTATCTGGTGCTAGTATCTCCTGCGGAGGGTCTCAGCGGGGCTTTAGTTATACATTAAGGCAAGCGGTGGGATGACATCATAGACTTTTGGCGCCTACGTGCTTTGAGAAAAGAGGTGACCTTTAAAGTTAATAGATAATAAAATCTTCTACTCATTATTTCAGCCTAAACAATTACCTAAGACAGCTAATAGTCCACGGTACCTCCCTATCCGCCAAGGCTACCATATCAGGAGACTCCTCTACCTATATGGCCTGCAGCTAGAGACCAGTTGCTACCTGGTTACCAGTTATCAGAACTTTTTCTACCTAGAAACTCCTAGCATAATCAGCTTTATGAATCATTAAAAGGCTTCTTTAAGGAACTTCCATAAAAGGAAATTTGCGGCCAGTTCTGCGTTGCTTATCAGGCATGCTCTCGTACAATAATTATTTCCCGTTGTCAAGTGGACCAAACTGTTCAGTGTTTAATTTTTAAGTAGGTAATTCTCAGTGCCATGTACTTACAATATTCTTATGAGTATAATTTATTGCCCAATGTATTTTCCAAGAAGATTTTTGTTATGACCAAGAACAAAAAACAAAGGGATGTTTATTCTTCAGCCCCACCGTATGAGGCACAAGGAATCTTCAGCACCACAGTGTGAGGCCCTTTTTCTTCAGCCCCAAGGCATGAGGCTCTTTGAAAGTCTTCGGCCCCATGGCCCCACGGTGTGAGGCCCTTTTCTTAGCTGCTTGCCAGTGGCTGGGGCAGCAAGGCCCCTTGCAGCACGCATCAATCAAAAGCTGATTCTGCAGTTGAAAACATTCTTGAAGTCATAAGAATGGAGATAGGTGTGTTGGGCATGTGTGTTCCTGGCTCCTTAATTGGAGCTCAAGAAACAAGAAGCATCACAAAGATGAAGAGCCTATCATATTTGAGGGTCGGTAAGAACTCCTGGATGCTATCACCTGGGCTCGAGTCCCTCCATTCCTCCCCAAAGCCCTGTGTGTCCTTCTTTTTGAACTTAACATTCATTACCACCCTTTGCCCCCCACCATGTTCATCAGAAGCTCCCAGAATAGGAGGATGGCATCATTGTTAAGGCCATACAACTCATTTTTTGATGATAGCATTTCAAGATAGTAAAAGGAGATAAAGATGTTACAAGAAGATAAAACTCCAGATTGAAAACCTCAAGAGCCTATTAGTAAAATGAATCCAGCAATATTTAAAAGGATAATACATCATAAGGGAGAGCGAAGCAGGCTCAGAATTGGAAAAAAAAAAAAAAAAGAATCAATGAAATATATTGATGACCTAAAAAAGAAAATTCTTTTTTTAAATTAATTTTTTTAAAGATTTATTTTTATACAAAAATCGGGGTACAGGCCAGATGCACGGGAGGGTAAGAAGATTCACTGGCAACAGAGCGGGGAACAGAACCGGCAGACTGACTGAAATACACTGCTGAGGGGAGCAGTGGGCAAAAAAGGAGAGGTCTGCTTCACCATGTGGGATTCTCGCCTGTCGGCCAGGATTGAACCCATGCTGCAGAGGCTGCGAACAGCCTCTGCACCCAACCGCTGGCCCCACCAGGGAGGTCCCCCAATTTTTTTTAAAGATTTATTTATTCATGCATACAAGAATTGGGGCACAGGCAAGAGATGTGGGGGGTTAGAGGATTCACCAGAGACAGAGTAAGGAACAGAACAGGCAGACTGAAATACACTGCTGAGGGGAGCAGCGGGCAAGACTGGAGAGGTCTGCTGCTCCAGGTGGGTTGCTCCCTGATGGGCCGGGGATCGAACTCATTCTGCAGAGGCTTTGGACCACCTCATAGTGTGGTGCTTAACCTTTGTGCCACCAGGGAGGTCCCCAAAAGAAAATTCTTATAATCATCTCAATAGTTGCAGAAAGAACAACACCAATTCAAGATAAAAACTCAGCAGACTAGGTATACAAGGGAACTTCCTTAATCTTATAAAGAGCATCTACAAAATACCATATAAATAATATCATACTAATGATGAAAGACTGAATGTTTTCCCCCTATAACTGAAAATAAGGCAGAGATTTCCTCTCTTACCATTCCAATAAGTGAATTTGACAAGGCTGCAAGTAGAGAGTCAATCTGCAAAAATCAATCATACTTCCACAAATGAACAATGAACAGGAAATTAAAGTATTGAAAAATAACTGCATACAGTAACACCAAAATCATGAAATATTTAGGCATAATAAAAAATATGTAAGGTCTCCACTGAAAACCACAACACCCAGATGAAATGAATTAAAGATGGTGTACATAATTTCACATGAATCACATTTTAGTAAGTATGTCCCAAATAACAGAAGATATTTACATGGGATAACAAATAACTTTTAATTATATAAATGCTGCTTATGTTAAATTTTGGCAATCCAGGTTCATGAATAAAAGAATTAATGCAGGTCACTCTTACCTGTATTTTTAGTAATGTTTTCTCTGGGAATTTCAATCAGCCAATAAGCCTGAGCACTAAACTTGAATAAAGAAGACATCACAAGTCAGTGTTTTACAATATTAATAGCAACACTTACTTTGACATCCACCTTATCTTTTAAAAATTATATAAATTAAAATATCCAATGCATATACTCTTTTTTTTTTTTTTTTAAGAGGCATGAATTTTTATTTATTTATTTGTTTGTTAATACAAGTCAGAAGCGCGGGAGGGTGAGAGAATTCACCAGAGCCAGAGCGGGGAGCAGAGCAGGCAGAAGGACCGAAGTACACTGCTGAGGGGAGCAGCGGGCGGCAGGAGAGGTCTGTGCGCCATGTGGGACTCTCCTCCCGTGGCCGGGGAGCAGCCGGGGATCGAACCGGCGCCACAGAGGCCGCGGGCAGCTTCGCAACCCAGCGCTCAACCACTGCGCCACCGGGGAGGCCCTAATGCATATACTCTTTACCAAGAGATCTCACTCTTAGGAGTTTTACTTACAATATTTTCACATATGTGTGAAATGAAGTATTAAAGGATATATTTTCATGATTATTTATAAAAGTGGAAAATCAAAAAGATTAAAATATTCATCAGTTATGTATACAATAATACAGCTACAAAGTGGAATACCATTCATCCAGCCAAACCTGAGGCATTGTTGACTTCATGTATCAGAGGACAGAGTTTGAAGTTGATAGACAATTTGTGAATTTAAGAGAAAAATCCCAGGAGCAAGGGAACTGCAAGAATGGCAAACTAAGGAAATAAAGAAATTCTTTCCAGGGCCTCCCCTGGTGGCGTGGGCGGTTGAGCGCAGCACTGTGAAGCTGTCAGTAGCCTCTGCAGTGCCGGTTTGACCCTGGCCGGCCCGCGAGGATCCCACATGGCGCACAGACCTCTCTTGTCTTGCCCACTGCTCCCCTCAGCAGTGTATTTCGTCAGTCTGCCTGTTCTGTTTCCCACTCTGTCTCTGGTGAATCCTCTCACCCTTCCTCATATCTGGACTGTACCCCAGCTCTTGTTTAAATAAATAAATAAATCTTAAAAAAAAAAAAAAGAAATTCTTTCCAGATTCTTGGGCAACACATGTATAAGAGGAGACCCCTTACATGTAAAAAAAAATATCAGGAGTAAAAGCTAAAAAACTGAGTAGAAATATCAGGTGCTGAACCAATAAGACAGTTTGTTGTTTGCACCAATACAAGTAAAAATCTTTTAATCTACCAACAACAAAAACAATAAATTCTCATAAGAACAAAGAAGAATCCAAAGTTGATGCAATTTATTATGACCAATGTCCAGTTGTCACTCAAAATAACAAGACATGAGTAAAAAGAGGACCATGTAATCGATATTCAGGGTGGTGGGGAGAGAAAAGGTAGTCAATAAACTGACTCAGAGTAGGTCCTAATAGCAGACAAAGACTTCAAAGCAACTATACAAATATGTTTGTCACTTTAAGGAAACTGTCCTGGGAAAGGAATGAAGAGGAAAGCCCACCATAGAAATGAAAAATATAAAAATAAAGTCAAATAGAAATGAGATTTAAAAGTATAGTAGCTGAAATAAAATATTTACTAGATGAGTTCAATAGTGAATTGAAGATGGCAAAAGAAAGAAAAGTGAACTTAGAGATATTGCTATTGAAATTATTCAATCTGTAAAAAGGGAGAAATTATTAAAGAGAATTAAAGAGACTTAGAGAATTGTGGGACATTATCTCATGTTCCAAAATGTGTGTAACTGGAGACCCAGGCAAGGAAAGAGATAAAGAAAGGGGCAGAACAAATTTTTTTCTGAGAAATAATGGCTGAAGACTTTCCAAATTTGGTAAATTTACAATCCAAGAAGCCCAGAGTAACTCAATCAGGTTCAGAGAAAGAGAAAAATCTTAAAATCATTAGGGAAAAATGACACATTACATACAAGAGACAACAAAATTAACAGCTAACTTCTCATGCAGAAGCAATGGTGTCAGATGACATTAAAAATGAGGGATTACATGTTCAAAATGCTAAAACAAAATTAAGTCAGTCCAAAATTTATATCTGACCAATTTTCATTCAAAAATTAAAGTGACCACTAAAAACCCACTAGAACTCATAAACGGGTTCATCGAGGCTGTAGGATACAAGATCAATATACAAAAACTAATTGTATTTCAATTGTTCTTACAATGAACAGCATAGAAATTAGATTAAGAAGGCCACTCCTTTTACAATAGCATCAAAAAGAATAACATATTAAAATAAATTCAGCAAAAGAAGTACAAAATTTATCCTCTGAAATGTACAAAACATTGCTAAAAGAAATTTTTAAAAATCTAAATAAATGGAAAGACATCCCATATTCATGGATTGGAAGACATTATTAAAATGGTAATACTACCCAAACTGATTTACAGATTGAACACAATCCCAGATGACTTCATAAAATTGACAAATTTATCCTAAAATTAATAAATTAATGAAATTCAGATGAAGACCAACAATCTTGAAAAAGAACAAAGCTGGAGGATTCATGCTTCTCAATTTCAAAACTTATTACAAAGTAACAGTATCTTGGGGGGGTGTGATAAAAATGTTCTAAAATTTGATAGTCATGATGGTTGCACACTCTTGGAATATACGGAAAGGATTTGTGTACTTTAGATAGGCAAATCGTATGGTGTGGTAATTATACCTTAATAAAGTTATCCCTCCACCCCAAGTAGAGGTGAAATAAAGACATTTTCAAGTGGAAGAAACTCCCAGAGGATTCATTCCCAGTACCCTGCACTGTGAAAATGCTAAAAGAACTTCAGGCTGATGGGATATGACACCAGATGGCAACACACAGCTAAGAAAAAAGTGAAAAGCAGTGGAAACAGAGCAATAAGTAAGCAGTGAAAAATTTAGTTTTTCTTCTCTTAAGTTCTTTAAAACATATGTGGTTGTTTAAAGCAAAAGATATAATATATATGTTTTGTATGTTGGCCTTAAAACATAAAAGGTAATATTACTGAACTAGATAGCTTAAAAAAAAAAACACATTCTATAAAAGAGTCTATGCTTCTTGTTAATAACATATCACAGAATAAAATAAAACGTATTTACCAAAGTTAAATTGAAGTGGAAGATGCCAGTGTATGTGCTATTTATGATTTCCAAGCTGGGAGAAATCCCTCCTGATGCAAACGTGCTTAGAAATTCCTCTGAAGTAAGGGTATTGTCAGATTGAAAATAACACTGGATAACCTATAGGAAAGAGTAAAGAAACAAGTAATGACAGTTTTATGGAGAGAAGTATATTACATTAATTTAAAAGTGAGGAGAAATCTATGGAGAGAAGATATTGCTGACCACTGTTAGTGACTTCCTTCTCTAACTAGGAAAAAATGTCTGTTCTGAAAGCATACTTTCAGTAACTTATTCTGCTAGAGTCATAACAGGTTTCAATTCATCCTCATAATCTCTTCTGTCATAGAAATGGTCATAAGGTTTTGACATTTAATAAACTTAGAATCAAAGTTACATGCTATCACAAATAGAAATTGCTATTTAATTAAAATCATTCCTTTCTGTCCAAATTCCAAAAGAAAGAAATATATAAAGCAAAAATCATTTTGCTGTATTTTTATTGGTTGTTTCCAAGTTTTGAGAAGGTATATTAAAATGTAGCCATCACAAAGGGTGGATTTTACCAAAAGCCAACATGAGATATAAATTAAGGCTTTATCTCATTGAGTTCTCTTAGTAGTTAAGATCATTTTGGGCAAGTCATTTTGTTATAGGGCAGCCCCGATATTGAACGGGTTGCCTGGCTGTGGGTCCTCACCCACGCGCTTAACAGGGACTTATGAATACTCCACTGCAGGCACACACAAAAGGTTAATAAAAGGTTTATTTACAAGGGAAAAGGAAATAAGGAAAATGGACAACTCAGGGAGAAAATAGGGAAATAAAGTCTTTAATGTGTCCTACCCGATCCGCCGACCTGGAAACCCAAAGTCACTCTCAGAGCTGGCAGAGAGCCAAAATGGGGGACCCCCCCCCAAAAGCCCATGTGTCTGGTTTTATACCCACCTGGCTGCTGAACCCCACCCTCAGGTCCCAGCCACTTCCCTTGGGTGGGGATGGGATTTGGAGTTCCCCAGTGTCTTTGGCTTTGGCCTGGGGTAGGGGTGGAGTCCACAAAGCCTGTGTGGAATTAGCTTTAGGACATCATTTTCCCCCTAACAATTTGAGTTTCAGTTTTGCTATCTATGAAGTGGGGAAACAATGCATTCTACAACGTTATTGAGCCCTTACTGTAACAGGGTGGCCCTGTCCTATAACATTACTACGTGCCAGGCAGTGTTCAAAGTGCTGGGAAAACAAAAGTGAACAAAATGAAAAAACCCTGCCTTCATGGAACTTACGTTCTTTTTCTTTTTAAGATTTATTTTTGTTTATATATGCGTACAAGAGATGGGGTGCAGGCCAGAGGTGTGGGGCAGAAGGGCTGTTTAAGAGGAGTCACCAGAGACAAGAGTGGGGAGCAGAACAGGTGTATCTACTGAAACATACTGCTGAGGGGAGCAGTGAGGAGACAGGAGAGGTCTGCTGCGCCAGCTCCCTGGCTGGGGATCGTACTCGGGCTGCAGTGGCTAGAGATAGCTTGATAGCTTTGACACTTTAACCCCTGCACCACCAGGGAGGCCTGGACCTTACATTCTAGTAACTATTGGCAGGGAGATAAATCAAATGGATAGACTGGTAATGGGAGGATGGAGAGAGAAGTAAAATAAATATAGAATACATAACCAGAATAAATTAGAGATGAGTGACTGGGAGTACATGTGTTTGGGAAGGGAGAGTGATTTTTAATAGGGCTATCAAGGAAAAGGACAATGGTACTGAATGGGATTGAAAAATACCACCCCACAATATGCTACTTTAGCATAAGGATTATTTTGAGCTGAAGGCAACAGGGAAACAGCAGATGCAAAAAGAACCCTCTACGCTCTCCTTAACTACTTAACAGCAGGCTATGAATTTCCCTTTGTGAAGTGGTTCCCTCTTACCTCTCCTGTCCCAGGAGGAGAAAAGATTCTTTTTACCACTGGAGACAGAAAGTCGGCACCAAATGGTCTGCATAACAAAGCTTGATAAAATCACCCTTATCTTCATTCGTTTCCCCCAACAATTTATCATTCCTAAGAACCCAAGCCCCCTTTCATTATCTTATCACTCCCCCACAACTTATTGTCCTTTGTTAAGATGGTATATAAAAGAGCCCCAAATTCTAACCACCCCTTTGTGTTGCTCATCATTGTGTTCTTTCATGGCTGTGAGAATGGCAAAGGTAAATAAACTGTTCTCTTTTTTATCTTTCCGTTTTTTGCTCACTTAAAGTCCGTTTAATCTTTCAGTTTATTTTACAGGCTCCAGCCACTGAATCTTAGAGAATAGTTCAGTACTCTCCTGCAGTGCTTATAGATTAAATGTCATATTAAACATAAAAAAACATTTTAAAAAATGCCTCTTACACCTGAGTACTTTATGAAGCTTAGCTATTATTTCTAATACCATTTATACAACTATTATATCACAACTATCAAAAAACAGGTTACAATTTCCCATGTAAGAGTACAAAACTGGGGCCTCCCTGGTGGCGCAAGGGGTTAAGCACCACACGGTGAAGCTGTCTGCAGCCTCTACTACACGAGTTCCATCCCCAGCAGGCCAGGGAGAGACCCACATGGCACCGCAGACCTCTCCAGTCTCACCCGCTGCTCCCCTCAGCAGTGTACTTTGGTCAGTCTGCCTGTTCTGTTCCCCACTCTGTCTCTGGTGAATCCTCTCACCCCCCACACCCCAGTTCTCGTATGCATAAATAAATCTTTTTTTTAGGGTTAGGGTTATGAGAACTGGGGTACAGGCTAGCAAAAATAAATCTTAAAAAAAAAAAGAGTACAAAATTAAGGGCAGAGAGTCAGATCACCTGCTCCAAGGCACCTGCTCCATTCATGGCAAGACCAAAACATGACTTCAGTTCTGTAGGATTCTCTCCTTCTAAAGTGTATTCTTTTCACATAATATATAATCACAAATCATAAAGGCATTTCTTATTCAAAGGAAATGCACTTTGCAACAGTTGTTAGTAAGAACCTAATTATCATCGGTCACATCAAGAAACTGGTAATTAAGTCAAAGCAGACTTTGGGATAAATGTTATTTGACTGCATAGGCTATTTCTCTCTAGTTTTATTATATTTATCATGGATTTTTTAGGGAACATGTCAATTTTTTAGTAACGTATGCTTTTGTTAGCATTTGCTGGGTAGCTATGTCAGTACATTTTATTTTATTTTGTTCTGTGTTTTTTTTAATCTGCCATTATTTGAATCAAAGGAATAATGTCATCTTTTGCCAAGATGACAACAACAATGTGGTACTTGTTACATAAAGGGAACGAGTTTTTCTCAAGGTCATGTGAGGTAATTTTCCTTCTCTAACAGGCCACATCTGTCAGCTTCAAAAGGACAAATCAGATCCATAAAAAATGAGGATTGCTATAGCTACTCTTTTAAAAAGCAAAAAACACGCCATCTTAAAAACAAAAAGGCAGCAAAACAAAACAAAAACACCCAAGGTATTCCAAGGTTGAATAAAAGTTTTTACCTGATCCAAGTGGAATGAAGTAGAAAGGACAGATAGGATTATTATTTCTGTAGAATCTCACCTCCCAAGTCTGAACAGAGTAGCAGGTATTTAAAAAGAGTGCAGTGTTCCTGTTTTAATTCATGGACTGAAAAGGAAAGTGGAGGTTTGCTACAGACGCTATTAGTGGATCTTACCAAGTTCTCTAAGAAAAGAAACAACTTGATTGTGCCATTCTTTGCTGTGTGCCCATAGTTAATACAAGAAAGGCGTTTTTCCAAAGTACCTAAATAATACAAAATATATGTACATTGTGTCACTTATAGAAGAGCCATCTTTTCTTTAACATTTTCGTTCAAAAACCATACTTTGTATGTAAATGACATTTATTTTTAACTGAGATAATATGGGAGTACCCCCATCAAGTATTACCACCACAATGCACCCTCCACCAACTCACCCATATTCCACCACCACAGACCATTATGCTTCCTTCCCTCTCTGCTCTTTTCCTACCCACACCCCCTTTCAACCCCCTGCCTTCTGGTCTTTCAGTTCTGTAGTCCGTTATCAAGGGTTAGTTTTTCAGCTTGTCTTTATCTATTAACTTAGTTACTTTGTATTCTGTTTGCTAGTGACACCATCAGGTATTTATCTTTCTTCTTCTGACTTATTTCACTTTGCATTATCCTTTCAAGCTTCATCCATGAGTTTATCTTTTTTGATCATTGAGTAGTATTTCACTATGTATATATACCACATCTTCTTGATCCACTCTCTGTTCTGGGGCACTTAGGTTGTTTCCATAGTTCAGCTATAGTAAATAGTGCTGCAATAAACATGAGACTTCAAGTTTCCTCTTGAATTAGTGTTTTTTAAATTTTTTGAATAATGTGTGGGAGTGGAATTATGGGGTCAAATGGCTGACTGATCCTTGTTTAATGTTTTGAGACACCTCCATACTACTTTCCAAGAGAATCATATTTTTTATTTTTTTAAAGATTTATTTATGCATACAAGAGCTGAAGTACAGGCCAGAAGTGTGTGTGTGGGGGGGGGGGGGCGGCGAGAGGATTCATCAGAGACAGAGTGGGGAACAGAACAGGCAGACTGACTGAAATACACTGCTGAGGGGAGCAGCGGGCGAGACAGGAGAGGTCTGCTGCACCATGTGGGTTGCTCCCTGGCCGGCCGGGGATCAAACTCATGCTGCAGTGGCTGCGGATAGCTTCATAAGTTGTGTCTTAACCCCCTGTGCCACCAGGGAGGCCCTGAGAATCATATTTTTTAAATGCCAAATTTTTTTAAAAGAATAAGGATTAATATTGGATATTTTAAATTTACATTACTCTAGATAAAATTCAAATATTTCACTTTTTTATTTTAAAGAGACATCATCAGGTTACTAAAAAGGAAGGTTTGGTTGAACACTAAAACAAAAGATAACACAAGCTAGGCCACGATACAAAATTAGAGGTGGCCCAAAATCAATTCTTGACTTTTAACCTCCTCAACCTTGGGGAGCACGTAAGAGGGCAAGGAGCTAGAGATTGGAGAATTCATGCTTTGATAGCGAGCTACTGATCTGAGGTGACTCCTCTCTCTACAAGGGAATGTCTTAACTTCTCGAACCACACTCTTAAAGGACAGTTTCCCCAGATACAAAATTACTAGTTGACAAGTTCTTTCTTTTAGCATTATGACTATGGCAGCCTACTGCCTTCTTGCTTCTAGGGTACCTAATGAAACATCTACTGATAATTTTATTGACGATCCTTTTTATGTGATCATTTTACATCTCTTGTGCTGCTTTCAGGACTCTATAGTTTGCATTAGCACATTTAATTAATGTGTTAGTGTGGGTCTTTCTGAGTTCATCTTCCTTGAAGTTTGATGAGCTTCCTGGATATTTATATTCATGTCTTTCTCAAATCTGGGCAGTTTTCAGCCACATGCCTTCATATATTCTCTTCCCTCCCTCTCTGTCTCCACCTTGTTACTCTCACACAGAGGGCATGCCAGCCCACTTGTCCCACAAGTTCCTTATGTTCTGTTCACACTTTTCAAGTTCTTTGTCCTTTTACTCCTCAGACTCAATAATTCCATTATCCGATCTTCAAGTTCATTGATTCTTTATTCTGCCTGCTCAAAGGTGCCTTTGCATCCCTGTCGTGGTTTCCCTTTCAGTTATTGTACTTTTCAGCACCAGGATTTCTTTTTGGCCTCTTTCCAGATTTTTTATCTCTTTATTGATATTTTCATTTTGTTCATACATCATTTTCTTGACCTTCTCCACATCTTCCTTTAGTTCTTTGAACATCTTTAAGATGATTAAAGTTTTTTTTTAAACAGATATCCAGTCTTTTTCAAGGACAGCTTCTGTTTATTTCATTTTTTTCCCCTTTGAACGGGTCATACCTTCCTGTTTCTTTGTATGCCTTGTGATTTTTTTTCTGCTGTTGTTGAAAACTGGGCATTAAATCTAATAATGTGGTAAATCTGGAAACCAGATTCTTCCCCAGGGCTTCTTTTTATTGTTACTGCTTTTGTTTATTGTTGTTGGGGCTTTGTTGTTGCTGTTGCTGCTGTTACTGCTGTTACTGCTGTAGCATTCTTTGTGCCATAGGCCAGCCTGAGATTTAAACTTATGGTTCCCAGGTCTTTTCTGAACTTGAGTCTTTCCCTTGTGTGGTCGCTTTCTAATTTAACCCCTGTGTGCAGTTGCTTTTTAATGTCCTACTCTTTGGACATTAAATGAAGGAAGGTGGAAGATAGGGCATTGAGCCTTTAAGTCCCTTTTGAAAATCATTTTAACCAGAGGGAGAGAGGGGCTTGCATCAAAGTCTCTATACTTTATGATCAGAAACAGCGATCAGCATTCAGAGCATACATCCTCAGTATTTAGAAGACAGGATCCTTTTTGTCCACTCTGGCTTCTTCAAGTTGTGTGTCACTGCTCTGGGAAAACATGCATAGCTGACTACCACAGGGATGAGGGCAGGAGGTGGAGGTGCATAGCTGCTATGTAAAAAGAGCTGATAATGATTGAAATAAACAGCAATTTATTGTCTGCTCCTTCCCCCTGGACGTTGCAAGCTTTCAACAGAGTTCAGTTTTATCTGTTACATAGCCTTGGTGATTTTATTTACAATAAAAGCTGGGTTCTATAATCTGAAATTACTGGATAATTGTTTGGATCACTTAATTGTAACTGAAAAAGTCCTGGGACCCTCCCATAAACTCATCCAGGGAAAGAGAATGACTAGTCCCAAGGATGGGAAATAAAAATAAGTCTCTGTTATGACTGCATGGTATTCATCTTGATCATCTAACACAGAAGTTTCAATGCTGTTCTGAAAATCCTATAATTAAACATAGCAATGCAAATATAACAAAATTGGCTTAAAATACATTAAAATATACTTTCTATCTATCCATTCATTTTGCCCATACCTGAAAATGCTACCAGACCTATTTTTTAAAGCTATAATTTGTCTTTAAAGTCCAAATATCTTCTCTATTTAAAAATCTTTATTGACACCCTTTGACTGATGAATAAACTCCTTAAAAGGAGAAAAATTAAGCAGAAGGAAATTAACTCCTTTGAATAACATGCTTTGAGAGTCTGGATTTACATTTCATTTTATTAAATGCTCAGAATACCTTGTATCCTCTCTAAGAAGATGAATCAAGAGTCAAGAAGATTAATTTATTTCTCAAAAGTCACCCAATTCACAATCATAAGTCAGATCGAAACCAAGGTGTTTTTGTCTCAAAGAGTCATCCCCTCTTTATCCTGCTAGACTGTCTTCAATCCATTATCTGATCTTCAAGTTCATTGATTCTTTATTCTGCCTGCTCAAATGTGCCTTTGAACTACTCTAGTGGCTTTCATTTCAATTACTGTACACTTTTCATACTAATGTAGTGCATGAACAGAAAAAGACTGACTTCATGACTGAAGATCTGATGCAAACTATCATGATGGGCTTCTATTTGTTTCCCAACTCTCCTTCCTCCAATAGATTTTACAAAATGCTGTCACATTAATCACCCTAAATTATAGCTATGTTACCTCCCTATCCAGTAATTTCAAATGGTTTCTCAATGAATAGAGACTAAAGCCAGAAATCTTTACCTTGACATCCAAGTGCCCCTGAAATGAGTCAGTTGCCACTTCCAGAATGGTTTACTTCTTCTGTTTCATCATTCTAGTCATACATAACTATTTTCTGTTCCCCTACATTCTGTGGCTTCCTACTTCTACAACTTATTACTGACCTTGATGTTGTCTTTGCAGAGTACTGTTCCTCACACGAATATAGGTAACTATGCCCATTTTGGAGCCCTAGGTTGATGGCTATCTTTTATACCAAGGCCTCCATGACCACTTACCACCCCCTGCCAAGATAGGAGTAAACACTCTATTCTCTGAAATCTCATAAATTTGCCTGAAACTCTATCATCTTAGATTATATCCATACACATGCCATATATTCTCTATTAGAATACAGGAACTAGAAATGGATCATCCCAGAATTCACCCAATTCTGCAGTATATCCGTGAATAGAAGAGCCTGAATTCATGTCTTCAGCCATTCAGTCAACAATTTTTTTAACTGAGCATCTACTGTGTTTTAGTAGCTCCAGTTCAGTATACTATAGAATCTAAACAATCTGCACATTTGTCTTATTGCTTTTATAAAGTTTTCTACCATAAAAGTTCTATTGACCAACTTATCCATGTATTACTTTCAGAAAATTCTCTTCAATCTAAGTCTACTAACTTTACAATTCAGTTTACAACTCATACTCATGGAAACTTTCTTTGTGGAGAAAAAAGAAAGATCTATTCAAATAAAGTTTTGCAAATATAAAATGCTCCTTAAACTTTAAATATTCTATGACATTTAAATGATGAAATACTATAACAAAAGAAAATTCTTTCTATAAACAACTTAATAGCATTCAAGTCACATGACACATATCATTAGAAACCTCTGGACCAGAACACAACAGATAATACCTGGGAAAATTGGAAAACAAGGTAAAGAAGAAGTACTAAAAGAAAAAAATTATAACCACTGGTTAGGAAGGCGTGTAAGGAGAATTCCTGAGAAGAAAACAAATTAAGAGAGTCTGAAACTTACCTTTATTATATATCATTCCTGATGAAAAATCGAGCATATTGAAAAGTAAAATTATAATATATAAAAGTGGCAATTCCATCTGTTAGAAGAAATACAAATTATTTTCGTTCAATATCTTCCAGCATACTTTTTTGAGTTACTTTTGCTATAAATAACTATATATAGTGCAGGCATCATCTCTTCAAATTAAAAATATTTCTCATTAAGTGACAAAAGCAAACAGCAGTTGACCGAGCTCTACACTAACTCTGTGTTATTAAAGCTATAGACAAATGTTAGTGTTACTGAAAGAATTATGGCTCAGGTTTTTCTTCCGTGCAGACACCTGTTGGAGGGCTGCAATCCTTTCTATAGCTGTGTAAAACAGGATCTTACTTGATAAAGGTACAGCTTTGCCTTGACCTAAGATTTTGATTGACCTACTGTAGTGGCAGGAAGGGCCAGAGCGGGATCTCTATAACCCGAGCAGGCCGGTCAAGGAGGAGAGTCCTGGAGCCCTTGGTGGCTTTTCAGGCTTTTATTGGGATTTACCAGGCCCATGGCAGGCAGGGGCGCTGGAGGCCTGCCAGCCTCCCAGCCCCCAGCAAGTCTTCATTCTTTCTGTACTCTATGTTGTTCTCTCTGCTTCTCTTTTGCCGGTTCTTCCGTTTGTTCTGCTGGCGTCCCCGTGACGCCGCCCTTATAAGCCCAGTCTCTCAGCCCAGGTGAATCCCATCTACACATGCCCACACCCTACTCCAGGTGCCGCCATCAGGCATGCATTCAGGACCGCAGATCCATCATCCATCCTAATGGTGGAAAGGCAGAAAATCCTGCTATCATTTTCACTTACCCTACACCTACTTTTGAGAGGGATAATGCACGCAAGTGCTGAACATCTCTGCATTTTCTTGCCCCGCCAAGAACATAAGATGCTGACCACTTACTGCCCAGCTTTTTCTCTGAGCTTTATTTGCAGGAAGGAAAATAAAAGAATATTTGAGAGTTTACTAATCATCATGCACACAGAAATAAGACTTTGAAATATTGTCCTTACCAGGAAAATCTTGTATTATTTTGCTAAATATTCACATTGAATGACATAACATCATTATTAGAACCTGTTGGTGTTTCTCATCCCTGAAAAATTGACTGAAATATTTTGCTCCAGGCTCAGGTTTGGATGATCTGGGTTTGGATGACCTTTAAGTTATCCCCAGTGTTGTTTCAATTCAGTTCTAATTTCATTTGAGTGAGTTTGAGTGTCTCTATCTCTGACTAAAAAAGGAAAACCTGGGGCTTCCCTGGTGGTGCAAAAGGTTAAGATGCAGACTATGAAGCTATCTGCAGCTACTGCAGCACAAGTTCGATCCCCGGCCAGGGAGGTGACCCACATGGCACAGCAGACCTTTCCGGTCTCCCCGCTGCTCCCCTCAGCAGTGTATTTCAGTCAGTCTGCCTGTTCTGTTCCCCACTCTGTCTCTGGTGAATCCTCTCACCCCCCCCCCACACCTCTGGCCTGTACCCCACTCTTGTATGCATAAATAAATCTTAATTATGATAAAACTCAGATCTTGCAAGAATTCGGTTTATAAAAAAAAAATGAAAAACTTACTTTGAAAGGCTTTTAAATATTTTCTTAAAGAAAGGGAAACCCAAGGGAGCGAAACTTGAGGGAGAGACGCTAAGGAGTGATCTTTGAGCTCTCCAAGCTGTGCTAGTAGTTGTATGTAACGTTTTTCTAGTAAGTCAACTTTTGTTTTTATTCTGAAATGTGATTTTAATAAAGTTTGTCTTTTTTTATTTTTTTAAAAGATTTATTTATTTATGCATTGTAAAGCAACCAACCCATTCCGAGCAGGTTTATGAACGGTTCTAGCAGCCACATGCTCTTCGCCGTGGTTTGTAGTCGCTCCAACACTCCTCCGTACACTCCACTCCTCCACCCTTGACACCGCACTACCACCACACCGCACTCTGCTGCACCACCCTTATATTATCAGTCTTTTAGCGCAGGTGGACCCACTTCAGGTGCCCGCCATCAGGCATGCACCCAGGATCACAGGGCTCCCTCATCTATCCTGATGGCGCAAGGGCAGAAAAGCCTGATACCTTTTACCTTACCCTACATGCATACAAGAGCTGGGGTACAGGCCAGAGATGCGGGGGGAGGGGGGGCGGTGAGAGGATTCACCAGAGACAGAGTGGGGAGCAGAACAGGCAGATCCACTGAAACCCACCACTGAGGGGAGCAGCGGGGAGACAGGAGAGGGCTGCTGTGCCATGTGGGTAGCTCCCTGGCCAGGGATCGAACTCATGCTGCAGAGGCTACGGATTGCCTCATAGTGCGGTGCTTAATCCCCCGCGCCACCAGGGAGGCCCAAGTTGGTCTTTTAAGCCCCCTCTTTTTTTTTTTTTTTTTTTGTAATTTGGAGATGGAATGTTGATATGAGACATTAAATATCATGTCCAAAATTAGTAACAAGCAAACAACAGAGTCAGGATTAAGACCAAAGTCTCTTGATTCAATAGATCAGTGCACAAAGATGCCGCAAAATGAGTATTTCAGCACTCAAAAGATACCAAGTGCATGATTAGATTTACCTCTCAATAAAACTGCTATACTTGTCCACCATCATTCTGTTCTCTCCACATAATTAGTCTCATTCTTCAGGATTATTACTGTTCTCAACTGTTCTCAATTCTCTGTGAGTAATCATCTCATGTTTAGAGAAAAATCACTGTTCATTCATTGAGAGATGTGTGATCTTTGAAAAGTTACCTAACTCCTTTGAGCTTGGTTCTAGTTAGTCAAACAGGGATAACAGTCACTTCATCGGGTAGTTGTGAGAATGAATGAATAATATAATCAAAACATCGAACAGCTACTTTACACAAGCTAGGCACTTGATAAATACCAGCTCTGCATCTGTCTCTATGCACAGAAGCAGCTTCTTTATCCTCATCATTCTTGCCTAATCACCCATTAACAATTAAATTACTCCCCGGTTATCCGTCCTATTTAATTGTAAGTTTTGCATAATGGTCAGATATAAGCCACATGTCTGGCCATTTCCTCTTTTCTGATTCTTTTATAAACACTCCACGAACATGGAAGTGAGTGCATTGTCAAGTCCCACGATAGTACGACCCTTATTTCTTACTGTAATTTCCTCTTAATGAGATGCTCGACTAGTTAGTTGTGCTTTTCTTTTTTATATTTTCCCAAGCTTCCTTCCACATAGGCCGAGAAAGAAGACCCAAATCAGGAGCTGAGCTTTCACCGTTTACTGGTTTACTTTGGTAACAACCAATCAGCTGAAGCACGTTGTAAAAATCTAAAGGACTGGCAGTTGGAATTTCCAATTAACTGCCTCCTTCAGAGCACCAAAGATCATCTTCATTAAAAATCTGAAAGGTAGAGTTTCTCCTGCTCCACCATCTACATCTCAAGGGTACAGTTTACCTGTCAACACAACATGCACTAGGAAGTCTCATGACAACATGTACAACGAGGTTGAAGGGAAGAGAAACTGTCAGAGCATCACAACTGTGTCTTGAAGGGGGAGGGAGGGAGGAGGGAATTAAAAAAATAGAGCAGAATTTATTGACAGGGTAAACAATACACAAAGCCGAAAGATGGAAATGTTGTGTATGTATGGGGCTTAGTAAACTCGAATGACTGCCAGTCTGTTCTCCAGATTCATCATGTATGAAGGGCCTTTTCTGGTTGACTCTACCCACTCAGGATGCCTTTAACTAGAAGGCCAAGGCTGAGCCTTCCTGACTTACTCAGCGCCCTGACTCATCATGAATGGTCACTGAGGCTAAAAAAGAATTTTTTAAATAATGATAATAAAACCGGCTTTACAGTGAGTCCCTTTACATGGGTACTTAGGACATTGCAAAGGGCAGGACAGGGCACAGTGCAGGTTTCTGATCCCATGCAGATCGGGTAAAGGAGGAGTCAGAGTCCTCAGTGGCTTTTTGCAGGTCTTTTATTGGGGTTCACCAGGCATATTGTAGGCAGGGGTGCTGGGGGGCCGGGAGGCTGGCAGGCCTCCCAGCCCCCAGCAAATCCACACTCTCTCTGGGCTCTCTGGTGTTCTCTGCTTCTGCTTCTTTGCTTCTCTCTTGGCTTCTCTTCGGCTTCTGCTTCTTCTCGGCTTTTCTGGCATCCCTGTGACGCCGCCCTTAAAAGCACAGTCTTAGCGCAGGTGGACCCACTTCAGGTGCCCGCCATCAGGCATGCATTCAGGATCACAGGGTTCCCTCATCTATCCTGATGGCGGAGGGCAGAAAAGCCTGATACCTTTTACCTTACCCTACAGACATATTTTATACTCTTGTCGTGAAAGACAGCTGGGATCTGGGTTTAATCCACTCCTGGCAGAACCTGTGTAAGAAATTCTTTCTCTCAACTTCGGTGGTGACTTTGACCCAAGGAAGTGACTCCTCAATCTGAAATAAACATGCAGATCTCAACATGTCGCCAGCACCTGGCTAAGGCTGTTCTCCTTGGACTGCACCTTGTCTGCTGTGTATGTGCTCTTGTGCGACAAGTGGCCAGACCCTGGCCTCCAACAAGAAGTAAAATATCCCTCCTAATAAAATCCCTTTATCTTGCTGGTTCCCCACTAAAGAAGGTGCCAAAACTTTTATATGAAAGCAAGCTCTGGTTTGCAGTCTCTGTGGCAAAACTGTCTATAAGCTCTTTCTCCACCCTGCCTGGAACAGGTAGGTCTGAGCAGCGCTAACGGTCCACACTGATGACTCTAAAGAAAACTGTGAAGCAGGTGACTTTTGCCTTCTTTCTGCCACCACCTCCTTTGGTTGCTTTCCCTTCCTCATTTGCCCCCATATGGGGCTGCCTTCCCAGTTTTTTTTGTTTTTTTTCATATTCCCTATACAATTGCAACCCCCTTTTTTGACCTCAATCCCTCCTTTCCCCACCCCGCCCCCAATGGTGTGTCTCTGGTTCATAGTTGTTTGTTGATTTTGATTTTTTTCTTTCTTACAGTCATTTTTTTCTGGTCCCTTATTTAGGTTTTCTAGATTCCTGCTATGAGTGAGACCATCCGGTATTTTTCTTTTTCTTTCTGGCTTATTTCGCTGAGCATGATCCCTTCCAGCTCCATCCATGTTGCTGCAAATTGAAATAGAAGTAGACACAAAGAAATGGAAAGACATCCCCTGCTCACGGATCGGAAGAATTAACATTATCAAAATGGCCATCCTACCAAAAGCAATCTACAGATTCAATGCTATTCCAATTAAAATTTCAATGTCATTCTTCAAAGAAATAGAAAAATATTGATGAAATTCATATGGAGCCACCAAAAACCCCAAATAGCCAAAACCCTCCGGAAAAAAAAAAGAAGGGAATGGAGGCATCACTCGCCCAGATTTCAAACTATACTACAAAGTCATAATCATCAGAACTGCATGGTATTGGAACCAGAACAGACACACAGACCAATGGAACCAAACAGAAAACCCAGAAATAAACCCACAGATTTATGCCTTCCAGTTCGAGTGGCGCTTTCCTTCCCTAACATGAGCAAGGTCTGCTTTGAGTCACAGCTACGTTTGCTTGTGAATGACTACCAAGAGTGCCCCCTCAGAGAGCACATCTGAGTAACAGTGCACTGAAAGATGTTCCCCCCCCCCCCCCCCCCCGAAGGGCAAGTTAGCCACTTGGCCGCTAGAGGGGAAATTTAGGGACAAGGGGAGGGGGGAATTGAAAGAAGGACAACTTTGGCTTTTTCTGTAATTTTTTTCTGACCATAAAAGTACTCGTTATACAAAACTTGGAAAATAAACAGGTTCTAGGTATCCAGTATTCTGATTTTATTTTTACCATAAATTAGCTTTATATGTTCTTGAATTCAATATAATGGAATCATATTGTTGTTACGTTTGTCTGACTTCTTTTTTGTAATTTATTTATTTATTTTATTTTTTACATCATTGTTCATTTTTAAACATTTGCTTTCCCCCACCCTTCAGGTGTAGTTCTCCATAGAGTGTCCTTCCCAAGGCACCTGTGCACCATCACCTCAGTCCCCTGCGCGCCTCCCTCCCTCCCTCTGCTCCCTCTCCCGCCTCCTCCCCTGCAGCATGTCTCTGATTTATAATTGTCTGTTTTTTGTTTGTTGTTAAATGGGTATTTTTTAATTAAAGAAAAAAAATTTACCCATAAACCAACAATTAGATTTAACCATTGTTACCATTTTGATATATTTTTCAGTCTGTCCCCTACACATTTATTCTCTATATTACATGTAGGGTCCTTCTTTATATATAGTTTCATGTCCTTCTTTTAGTCATTGTCATTCTCATTTAATATGAGTGTTATTTTCAAAAATTTTGATAGTGACAAATCTAAAATAACTGTACACAATGTACTTAAACATAAGTCATTCAGCTGTTTTCAGTGCTTCCCTATTACGAATGATGTGGTAGCAAATAATCCTGAACAAAAATCTTTCTCTGCATTTAAAATATTTCTTCAAGACGTGAGTGAATATGTTTAATATTTTTAATGCATGTTGGCAAATTGCCTGGAAAATGCAGCATTGAGAATTAGATATAATCTGTAATGATTTGATAGGCAAAACATTGTTTTACTATTTGAATATTGGTATACTTGAACATTTGTTAGTCATTTTTTCTTCGATAAATTATCTGGATATATTCGTAGCTATTTTCTGTCACAATTTTAGTGTTTTGCTTATAAAATGATATAATAATTCCTTGCAATATTTACTGACTATTGAACCTAATTTTTCATTTGCCTTAATTTTATGTGGGCCATGATGAACAGTAATTCAAATATGACACAATCAAATTTATTAATGTTTTCCTTTCTGGTAATTTCCATAGCCTTATGGTTTCAAAATCTTCCCCCATCCAGAAACATACTTTTCTTCTTCTTTTATGTGAGAAAATTTAAAACTCAAAAACAACAAGGATATTTTGATGATCCAAGATCACTGCAGAAAGTTTTAAAAATACATGATATTTCCAAACACTGGGAAAAGTAGGAAGAACTGCATAATCATCATCTAGCATAGCATTAGTTCTCTTTCATCAATACACCCACCCTTTCATCTTCCTTCTCCAGGGTCCTCTTGAAGATATCCTAGACATCTACCTACACTTCAGTAAATATTTCTAAGAGAAAGTCACCTTTTTTAAATAAGAGAAAACCACAATACCATCTCACGTCTAAAAAGAATGAGGATTCTGGATATCTGTTTATATTTTCCCAGTTATTTCATTCTTAAATTTTGTTACAGTTTGTATGTATGAATCATGTTTCAATAATGTTAGTTAACTATTTTCCCTCTCTTCAATCATGGTCTCTTTCTTTTTCCTTGCAACTTATCATTTGAAGATGTAGTTATTTCTAACGTTCCTCACAGTCTGGATCTGGCTAATTGCACCATCACCATGTCTTTTTACACCTTCGGTCTATCTCATTTGTCCTGAAATACCACCAAGCAGATTTAGAGGCTTGATAGGATTCTGGTTTATGTTTTTTGGCAGGAGCACATCATAGGTGGTATTGGTCAGTTCCAACAGGAGGCACCTGATGTCTGATTGTCTCTCTTTTCTTTTCTTTTTTAAAGTTCCTTTTTTTTTAAGATTTATTTATTTATTTGTACAAGCACTGGGTATAGTCAGAAGCACGGGAGGGTGAGAGAACTCACCAGAGCCAGAGCGGGGAGCAGAACAGGCAGACTGACGAAGTACACTGCTGAGGGGAGCGGTGGGCGCGGCGGGAGA